CCCTTCGGGGAGTGTTGCTGCACATCCCCGTCGGGGCAAGGGTGGGATGGTGTAACCGCAAAATCCCCGCGGGTGTTAAGTTCAGCAAGGTACCGGTGGGCACCTTGAGTGTATTTTTTGTGGACAGTCTTCAAGCACTCCCGTCTTGGTGTTCCTGCTTTGCCGCCGGGCCTGAAGTGGTGTGACAGCTGTCCTGTGTGCCTCTTGCTCAGGATGGGAGGATTGTGGGTGAAGTGCTGTGTTCAAGCTGTGTGACTCCTACAAATCTTCTCCTTCCCTGCAAAGAAACATGTTCTTGTAGCCAAGGTTTCACATCCAGAAAAAATGATGTAATCTGTAGATGTAGTAGTCAGGTAAATTGTGGTTTATGTGCCTTATGGCAGTCAGAAAAGTATAATGAATTTCAGCAAGTTGTCATTCCTTTAAAAAGAAAAAACCCTCACAGAAGTGCAGCCGTCATTTGGAAAGAAAAGACATGTGGACTATGTGGCATGACAGGGGACATTAAGGCATAAGGTGGTTTCAGGACAGCCTTTTCAAAACAATGTTGTTGATATACACATGCACCACTGATACACTGAGCAAGGTGTTGGCTTAACTGGGGCAGCCTAGAATTGATGCTGAGTTTCAAAACAGCCACTGTAATGCTAATTGGTTAGTGTTATCCTGTGTTGCATATGTGCCCTTTTGCTATTCCTTTAAATCCTTTTTGGCCCCATTTTTGCTGGTAGCATAGAATTGTCCTTTGTTTCATGTGTGTTCTTATGTTTCTCAATGATATGAAAAGCATCCTTGAGAGCTGTATTGGTCCACATGCAATAACATGAGAAGAGCTAATAACAGCAGAAGTGAAGGAAGGTGGATGGCTTCTTCAGAAATTGTTCCCTTACAGAAAGACTTTTCTGTTATCTTCTATATATGTATAAAACCATTAAAGTTTTCTGTAAATGTTCATGGATTATGAGAACAAGGAATGCTGATTCTAAGGAGAATACTTTTATGTTTAAAGCATAGGTAGCTTTTTAATACAATATAGATAGGTTCATTATTTCAAATACATGATGTGTGCAAAATAAAATGACTGAAATAGAAAAATGACTTTAGTCCCTTTTTTTTTTGTCAGCCTTCTAGCAGCGGTCGAGCTGCAGAGCTCCTCGCCAAAGAGCGTGGAACGGTGCCTGGGTTTATCGGCTTTGGAACATCTCAGAGTGATCTAGGATATGTTCCTGCAGTCCAAGGAGCAGAAGAAATAGACAGCCTTGTGGATGCTGATTTTCGAATGGTGTTGAGAAAACTTTCTAAAAGGGATGTCACAACAAAATTAAAAGTAGGTGTATCATTTGCCCCGTATTTTTTTTTTTTTCCTGGAGAACAGTCCATTTTTCTTAAGGATGGGAGAGGAATATATCAAGGCAGGTAGTACTAATTTTGTATTGGTAAATTTGTTGAGACTGCAGTCCAGAAGGTACGTGGAGGACTTATAAAAAAGTCTGCTACACAGTGCTGATGGAATATTCATAAAATTACAGAACATATCTATCCGACTTCTTCAATCATTCTTTTGATATTTTCATTTTAGGCTATGCAAGAGTTTGGGACAATGTGCAAAGAAAGAGAAGCAGAAGTTGTTAAAGGTGTTCTTCCTTACTGGCCAAGAATTTATTGTAAAATCTCACTAGTAAGTATTATAAAGTGTCTTAATTAAAAACTTCTCTGGATATTTCCTGTGAAAACCACTAAGGCAGTCTTCACTGATATATCAAACTGTGGTGGAATTGCTGAATTGTTTTAGGAAAAATAAGAAGCTGAAGGAAATTAGTGTTGGTTATGGTGGAGATGTTTTGATATTGGCAGTGGGTGGAATCTTGACTGTTGATGCCTAGGATGGATGGATATAGCTATTTATTAGGCTCTTATGTTAAAAAGATGACAAGCTATTTCTTCTCATGAAAAGTTTCTTTATGTATATTCCAGAAGAACTAAAGAGAGTGTTCAGGTAAAGTAATTATAAATTTTCTTGATGTGGGACTAATATCTGAGCAGACTTAATATTAAAAACCAAAGCAAACAAAAAAAAACCCAAACCCTAAACCCACAAAAAGGTGCCCAAACATGGGAAGACCACGCACAGCCTTATAATCCATAATTTTCTGATATATTTAGTACATCTCCAAATGATCTGAACTGACTACTATTGGAAACATGATACTAGACAAAATGAATCACTATTCTGATTAGTTAGAGTAGTTCCTAGTATTTCTTTTAGGATCCAAGAGCACAGAAAGTCATGGTGTTGTAAATGCATACACAAATATGTGTATGCATATGGATAATGATGCACAGTTTGTGTAGTTTTATGGTTGTTTTATTCCAAAAAAATGTCTTCAAGGCTTCCTGTTTCTCTTGCCACTTGCCTTTCTGTTAAATCTCTGTATAAAATGAAAATAGAAACTCTAGTTAGGGATATCAGGAAATCAAGTTTGAATGTGCAACCCATCAGAAGTATGATGCTGCTAAGTTAGGACTCCCCTTTTATCTAGGGATACCAAGACTTTTTTGTCATCGTTGTTGCATATTTTCAAATCTCTACATCCTAATTAATTGCAAAAATGGCTCAATGGGGAAATGGTTTGGGTTTTTATCATCATTTCTGCTTTGAAGTACCCGTCATTTCTTAAAACAATAATTTTTTTTTTTTCTTAAACAGGATCATGATCGCCGTGTTCGAGAAGCAACTCAGCAGTCTTTCGAGCAACTGATTCTTAAAGTAAAGAAACACTTAGCTCCTTACTTAAAAAATATAATGGGATACTGGCTGATTGCTCAGTGTGACACTTACTCTCCAGCTGCTTCTGCTGCAAAAGTAGCTTTTGAAAAAGCTTTTCCTTCAAGCAAACAACCTGAAGCCTTAGTATTCTGTAAAGATGAAATTCTTAATGTGAGTTTATATTTTTGTATTTCTTCAAGGCTTTGTGTTGAGTATATGTCAGTTTTCATTAGAAGACTCATCCTGCCCCCATCTATACATCATGGTTAAATTTCTTTCTCTGAAACTTTGCTCCTGCTAACGTGAAGAGAAGACTGAGGCAAAGACGCATCCTCTTAGTATTTTTTTTGGCTTGTGGTTAAAATGGCTGAAACTAGAGAAATTAAGTGAATATGAAGGGAATTTTCATGTGTGCACTTCTATGTGATGATGCTCAGTCATCACATAATGTTTCTGACAGATGGAATAATGATACTGGAGTAGTTTAGCTGCAGTGGTAAAGGATTAAAGAATGCTGAGCAGTGAGCCTCTTTCGGAGAGCCTCTACAGGTTTAGCTCAGACCAAGGTTAATGCTTTTAGGCCCATCATATATGAAACTGACTGACTGCATTTAGAAAGGCAAAAGTTTGTATCCTTGGCCTGTCATGTGCAAACTTACCCGTTTTGTTTTGGCGGCTTTTTACCAGAGGTGTGTTGGCACAGGACTGCAACCTAGAAGGTAGTAGGAAGCCTTGAGTCAGTGAGATTATGTTGTTGAAACAAACTTGACTCAGAGGCTGTAAAGTTTTATTGTCGAGCTGCTTCTGAATAGTGAATAGACTATGTTATTCACATAAATAGGAGTTTCTCATGTGTATATATATGTGGTTTTTTTCCACTAGGTGCTGCAAGATCACCTTCTGAAAGAAACACCTGATACACTCAGTGACCCTCAGTATGTTACCCTGCTTTAATGTGTATGGGTTAAGTCTTGGTCTGCATTGGGTTCTCTGTCCCTGGAGGTAGTGGATTTAGTTTTGTTTCAAGAGGCAGAATAATTATTTGTGTCCAGATCCCAGCAACATTTTTTGGAACCAAAGTGTGAGTGCTTTTGAAAGCGTTATCAGTTGTCTAATTGTTTTTTCAACTCTTTTAGGAGTAGTGTTTTTGAATAGCTGAAAGATGAGATGAGTTGAAACTATCTCTTTTTCTAACACTTGATAGTGTAATTTTGTAATGTGTTAGAACCTATGGAAAATTCATATATTTGTGGTGCTGGCATCTGAAATAGAACACAGAAAAACTGAAGACAGGACAGTTTAGACAGTTTATAAGAGCTTGAGAAGCCTACTGCTTTGTTTATAGCTCACTTTAATTTTTTTTGCTTTGTTTTGCTTTCCGAGAACTGTACCAGAGGAAGAAAGGGAAGCCAAATTTTTCCGGATTCTGACTTGTTCCTTGTTAGCTTTAAAAAAGTTGCTTAGCATGTTGCCAAAGAAAGAGATGCATTCACTGGAGGAAAAGTTAGTGTCCCTTCTGTCCCAAAACAAATTTTGGAAATACAGCAAACACAACATACCACAGGTGACTTTTTAATTTCTTCTTTATTTTTGGTTGGGTTTAGGTAAAGATAATACACTGAACCTAGGCAATTATTAGTTACTTGTATTCTATGAGAATGAATTTTGTACTTTACTGAATTACGTATGAAACAGCCTTCAGGTTTATAGAACTCAAAGAGACAATATTGCTCTAAAATTTGCCCAGTAGGTTAATTTATTTCCATGTCACCATCATCAACTTCTTGGCAATCTGCAGTCATTTCAAATTTATGTAAAAGATACAAACTGTGTCAGCTTACTGCATGTGTTCCTAGTGGGTTTGGATTTTCATTTTTTTAAACCATTTTATTGGTCTTCGATCTGCTAAGACCAATAGTGCATAGAGTGGTGAATTAATTCTGGTAGTCTTTTTGTAAGAATTTTCAAGATGCTTTTGGGAAAAACATGCCTTTTGAGAAGTATATTAAAATAATTTATAAGCTTTTTAATACCGACCAAATTAGTTTAAAATATTGAACAGACCTATCAAACTTTGCTGATATTATAAAATATGAGGACTGCATGTTTTAAGTTAGAATGACATCAAAAGGAATATTATAAACTATATGTTGTGACAAAGTGTTGTTGTTTGACTAAAGTTTTATTTTCTCCTGCCAGGTTCGCTCAGCTTTCTTTGAGCTGGCTTCTGCTTTTTGCCAGTACTTGCCTGAGCTGGTGAAAGCTGAAGCATCAAGAATTTGTCCTGCTGTTCTCCTCAGCATTGATGACAGCGATGCAGCGGTGTGTCCTGCTCTCTGGGAAGCTGTTCTTTATGCTATTGCCACTATTGAGGTAATGTGGGAAACCTAAGGGCAGATAATTTACTCAAATTTAACTTTTTACCGAGCGCATTTGTTGTTGGTGTAGAATTAGGAAGAACAGCTTGACAGGGTTTTTTTTGCGGTCGCTGACATGAACTCATCAATGCTACTTGCTCCTTCTTTCAGTGTAGCCTTTAAATATATTGTGTCCAGCATATCTGAAAGACAGAGCTCTTTTATAAGTTTAATTAAATTACCCTGAATCCCTTTGATTAAATGATTAAATATAGTTGCTAATAAGTAAAATAATACTTAAAACATTTTTCTTGTTTAAAAATGACCTGCCATGCACTTTTGCTGTATTTTCCCCTTCTAATTCAATGCTCAGTTCTATAACTTGTTTTTATTTATTTTATTTTTTAAAATTTTAAGTTAAATACCAGCTCTGAAGTTACTAGCAGCATGAGTGGTGTTGCCGTAGACTGAGATCTTTTGAGAGTTTAATGCTGCAAATCTCTTTTGTAACTGCTGATATAAACGGACAGTTTATGGGGAAAAAAATCTTTGCTCAGCTTGCTATAAATACAGATATAAATAAAAAGATAGAACTGTGACTGATCAGATAACAAAAAATTTCAGGGTGTGGGAGGAAAGTGCCAAGGTATTTCGTAACCATCGCAAGATTTTTCAAGGGAATTTTGAAGTTAGTGATGCTTCTAAAGTTAGGATTTTGAAATAATTGCTTGTTCTTGATAATAAGAACTCAGAATTCAATACATGACCAGGTACAATAATGATTTTTATGGAGCATCCTTAAAGCGTTATTAAAGAGGAGCCTTCTATTGCAGTTTGCTAACAGGGAAGATCCACTGATTTTAAACAATACAGAAACAGACTGACTACGTTAACTTCTTAAATTCACAAGCTTACAAAGTTTTAAAAATACTGGCAAGTGAAAGTAGATTTTGCAAGAACTTGTTTTGTCTATGGCATAGGAAGGTAGATGAAATGTCTAGCTCTGTAGTACTTCTGAGGCCACACATTCTTATTTAATTTACAGTAAGTGTATTCCTTTCTGTAGGACTGTTGGAGTCATGTAAATGCCAGGAAGGGAGTTCTACCAAAGCTGTGGACCGTGCTTCGAGAAGGTGGCCGAGGACTGGCTACCGTCATATACCCAAATCTCTTGCCATTCATTAGCAAAGTACCTCCTGGCATTGCAGAACCAAAGCTGGAATATTTCAGAACTTTTTTCAGCTCTATAATTCAAGGGTATGAATCGCAAATTTATTCGTTTATTTATTTATTTGAAATCAGTCTCTTCTACGTTTGGAAGTAGGAGAGCTAATCTTCTTTAGGCATTTAAAGATAAGTAGCATATCATTTGACTTAAGGATATTTAAACATATATTGATTTATTATTTGAGAAAAGACTGTTTTCAATATTGTATTTGAAAGTCATGTTTTTAAAATAGTTGTAAATATCCAAAACTAGACTCAGTCTTTTATGGTTGTCCCTATCTTCTTAAACCTTCAGCTGTTTTTTGATTTTATTATGTCTTCCTTACCTAAAGCATTCTTGTCTTCTCTTGCCAAGCTTCGTATTTATTCCATAATAAGTTTTAAAATAGGAAATTAATTTAAAATTAAGAGTAGCTTTAAAGGTGTCAGGCTCTTCTCACCAGTCAGTAATTATTAGCGATTATTGGGGGTTGCAACATGGTCATATTTCTTATATGCAGGAACTTTAATTGTTGTGATACTCATTTTTAAAGGATTGAAACTACTTTCATTTTTGCCTGTAAAATTCATCTGAAGCAACTTTCAGTCAAATTAATTTAAATAGATGCATGTGCATTGTGTATTCAAAAGCATATATATGTTATTTGTGAAAAAATAAAATGTAACATTAAAACAATAATCAATTCTAGATTGATGTTCATGTGGCCCTTAGCAGAGCTCCTGGGGAAGAGAACTATGTACGAGTTGTTTTTGAAAAGCACATAGGATTATATTACAAGCAGTAAAATGGTTGTGATATTGGTCTGGTAATTTGTGTAGTCTAATTTTCATTGAAAAGCAAACAAATCGTGGTTGTTCAGACTCAAAGTGGCTATGATCAAACTGTCTTTTGGGGTTTTTTGTTTTAGTTTGTTGAGGTTTTTTTTTCTATAGTGATGGAAAGTGACGTTTTCTAATCCTCTCTGGTGTGTATGAAGAATTTCAAAGAAGTTTTGACAAACGGCTGGTATGTTTGACTGGAGAGGTTTCCTCTCTTTACTTAGATACTTTTTTAATGAATGCTAAAACGAGATGAAAAAGTTATTTTAATGTAAATTATATTAAATGCCTGGATTATCATTTTGACTCTTGAAATGCGTCCTCTTGAATTCTTTTTGATCCGACTCCTATCAGCCATTCGATATTCTCCTGTTGGTGAGACACAACTGAGGTTACGCTTGTGACGAATGTGCCAGGTTCCTCGGAATTGGGGGTGACTGAGTGTGCCCCCGTCAACTTTGCCTTTCGACAGGTTGTCGAGTGAGCGAGCGGTCACCAGCCCTTCGGAAAGTTCAGCGATTGTAACTGCATTTATGGAATGCCTGCGCTTTGCCCTCCTGCAGAAAATAGATGAAGAAGATGATCAAAGACAAGTTCATCGAATGCTTATATGCGACCAGGTATTTCTTAGAGATGCTTAATATTCTAGTGTGTAGATGTAATGATGCAAAGTTAAAGGAAAAGGTAAACTTCTGTGAGGATTTACTTCTCTGCTGAAAGTTTCCTAGATTTTATGGGAAAAATAATGTCACTGACTTTAGTTAATTTTTTCCTTGCTGTCTAATAATCCATTTTATTGTGTGATTTTAATTATACCAGAAAAAAAACACCCAAAAAAAGCATCCCAACCTGTATGTTTTATTAAGTGTTCAAGCATGAGTATTTCTGATGTTTTCAGAAGTACTTCTGTAGTATTTTTCAAAATTACAGAATATCCTGGTATTGTTAATAATAAAATGATCATCTAGTTGGATTGCTGTTGCTCAGTCATTTTTTTGTCTTTATAGCTAATTCCTCTTACCGATGCTGTACTTAAGGAGCCCAGGTTACAAAACGGACCGTTATTTTATCAAATAGCAGAACTGCTGAGCTTCTGGGAATCTAAAGCAGAACTCTCCAGTGGCGATGGTGCAGATGAAGTTTTCCAGAAACTGTTGTCGAATTTTTGGGACCATCTTTTAAAAACATGTGTACTTCATGTCGATACACTGGATGCTGATGAGAAATCTTTGTTTGCCATATCTGGTATGCTAGAAATTCTTCAGAATCCCAAGAGAGCTACAAAACCGAACAACAGAAAATCTCTGAAAATCAGATTTACAGATGAGGATGAATCTGAAAAAACCGCAGAGAGTGGAAAGCTCACAGAAGTGAGAAACAGTGACTCTGAAATACAGACTGACTTGCAGCGTAGTTCACCTCTAAGGAAAGAACCTTTAGAGAACTTTGTGTGCAGCCTTGCTGAACTGAGTATTGTGTATGTCAGTGAACAGAAGTCAGAAGAGCATTTGAAATTTCTTTCTGCCCTGCTCAACTCTTTTCCTTCAAACAAAATTTTTCAAGTGCTCTTGGAGCAGGTTAATGATGCCAGCTCTCCTCAAGCTGAATCCCAAAATGAAATGAAAGGTCATCATGGAAGTCCATCTGTACAATTTTTGTATATGAATTTAATAACTTGGCTGAAAGAAGACTGGAGGAAAGACACCCATTTTCTGGTTGATATTTTGTACAGTGTTCTTAATTGTTGCAACAGTAATGAGGAACGTAAGATCATTCTCGATGATTTAACGAAGGTATGACTCTGGTACTTTTTGTTATTAGCTTTTTATCAAAGTGACTAGTCTTTTTGTGGGCTGTGGTTGGTTAATTTATTTTGGGGCTGTGGAATGGGTACATGAATTTGCGTAAGTTCAGTGTAAGGAAGGTAGGTTTAGGAAGGGTTGACATGACAGTGTTGGGGTGAAAGGTTATGACGTACATCCTCTTACATGGTGTAACTCATTATAAAAAAGGTAACATCAAGATTTCTCTATTCTTGCATCTTTATACAGTATGCTTTTCTGTTGGTCATTTGTGGACTTCCTTATAAATACAGTCCCTTATTATCTGTGGGGTAGAGAAAGACTTGGAAGCCAAAAATAGTATGCACGATAACTTTGTTACTGAAAAGTAGCAACTTCTGCGTATCTCCTGCAGAAAATCAAGTTGTAAAACTGACAGTTCAAACTGTATTATGTGCTTCCTATTCAGCAAAGAATATGATAAGAATCTGATAAATATTGTGGAATTTTGTTTTTCTTTTTAGATGGATCTGAAATGGATTATTTTTCTCCAGATAATTCAGAAGGTACCTCTTAAGTCTTTTTCATTCTTGTTTTGTGTTGTTTTGAATATTTCCCTCATTTTAGCTTTCAGAGTTATATATGTTTGAATGTTAATGTGTTTGAATGGAAAACACGCCCTATGAAGAGCGGCTGAGGGAACTGGGTTTGTTTAGTCTGGAGAAGAGGAGGCTGAGAGGAGACCTTATTGCCCTCTACAACTACCTAAAAGGAGGCTGTAGTGAGGCTGGTGCTGGTCTCTTCTCTCTAATTACTAATGACAGGACAAGGGAAGATGGCCTCAAGTTGCGTCAGGGTAAGTTTAGATTGGATATTCGGGGGAAGTTCTTTACTGAACGAGTGGTGAGGCACTGGAACAGGCTGCCCAGGGAGGTGGTGGAGTCACCAACCCTGGAGGTGTTTAAAAAAAAAGTAGATCTAGCACTTGAGGCTATGGTGTAGTGGTTAGGTATGCTGGGATGAAGGTTGGACTAGATGGTCTTCAGAGGTCCCTTCCAACCCCTAACATTCTGCGATTCTGTGACTTTTTAATCATTATTGTTTAAAGAGTGATAATTTCCATAGTTTGTCAATCTTGCAGTAATAGTTTCCGTGTTGCTTTTTTAAGCTGTGTTAAATCTGGGGACGTTGTTAGAAATGAAATGATGATCCCAAAACTGAAGCGTCTTTGTTCCATCTGGCTTTGGTCAGTTTACTCCTTGAGCCAGGGGGTTTCCTGATTTCTTTCTGGCGAGAAAGCTAGAGAGAATTGAGCTGGTTAGTAGACCAATAATTTAAGATTATTTGTATCATCACCCTGACATCATGCTTACTAGGAAAAGGTAAGATCATTCTTTTCACGTAGGATATTGAGAGACTGGCATTTAAGTGATTGCCTGGGGTGAAATATGAAGTGTATTACAAATTTTTGCGCAAGACCTCTTAGCACTTGATTTGCAATCCAGTTTGTTGACCATAATATCTTTCCTCACAGATACTTTGTGTTTTAGGGATCCTCAGTTTTTATGATTTTGTAACTTACAGTGATTTATCACCAAAACAATGTTTTTCTGATTTGCGGCCTTCTGTTTCTTTCTAGAGATGCTTTATATAGATTTTAATGTTACCGATAGATTTTATTTTAGCCAACCTGGCCATCCAAAAGTTAGAATGATAACTCCCAACATAGGTGTTCCCTGGGCTCTATAATTGGAGAAAAGGAAAAAGAAGAGCTTCCAGAAGGTGACTTGTTTCACTTTGAAGTAGAGGTCTGACCTAGCCTTGAGGTGCTGCATCTGACCAAGCAGAAAGTTGTGGGGATTGTTGCAGACATAACACCTAGAGACTTACTGTTCATGGCAGATGATGATTGCCACTCAATGTGTGCAGGTTTGACAGAGCAGTTTTATGCTTAGTTAGTAACAAAAGTTAATACCCTTAAAAGATTCTTTGAATTATTTTCTTGTGACTCAGGCATGCTCAAGCACAACAAGACTTTCCTTAATCTCTGACTGGCTGAAAGGAGAAACACTTGGAGAAAGGCTTGTAATGCTGGCAGATGATCTCTGTCACCTGGGTTTGGAACCTATCGCAGCCTCATCAGAATCATCCTCTTCAGAAAGATGGACCCTCCTGAGCTTAGTGCTGTCTCAACACATTAAAAATGGTAAGCATATTTATTCCTTGCAGTTTGTGAAGTGTAAATACCACACTTAAGCTTTGTAGAAGGCTCAAAGGAATCTGAGGTCTTCTAGAATTGAAGGAATGCCTCTAGGCTTTTTTTCTGAGTTTTTAGTGTTGGGTTCTTTTTGGTAGTATTTATTTGGTTTGGTTAGTTTTTGTTTTGGTTTCTTTGTTTTGTTTTTTTTTTGCCTGAGCCAATTAACCATGTCCAGTTTAATTTTGTAACACTAACTTGCAGCAGCGACATTTTTTTTTTTTCCCTACGTTGCTGAACAAGAATCGGTGTTCATAGAACACATTCAGATTTGTGAGTCTGGAAAACCTGAGGGAAATTCAATTAAGTTTGATTTATTAGCTGATGTTCTGTAAAATAGTATTAATTTTTAAACCGTACCATCCGAAATTTACCTTCAAAACTAGAATGTAAAACATAGATTATAGACCTATACATGTGTGGATACTGCATTGTTAAAGGACTTTTGAATTGCTTTGAGTCATTTTCAGTTAGATTTGTGTTTTAAAAGTTGTGTGTGTGCACCTAAGCTGTATATGTAATCTATTTTTAATTAATAACATCCTATTTCAGATCTATTTGATTTCTTCCTTGTGTTTTGTGGTATCTGTGATACAGACTTTTAGCAGAGTTTGATTTTCTTTGTTTTGTGTGTAAACTTGTCATTTGTGTTTTCTTAGACTTGGCATTTGCTGTGATCCCTGAGGTAACAGACTTAAGTTGGTCTGAATGCTGGGCACAGTCATGGTGCTTTCAAGTTTCAGACGCACACAACAAGTTGACCGCAGTGGATGTTCATATCTAGCGCATCCTGAGGGTGTTGTAAGATTTTTTGTGTTACTGCAACTTTTGCTGTAGAGGAGTGTCAGGAAAACCTGTTCTCTCTCTCCCCAGCCAGCTTGTTTGTGAGTCAGGGGTGTCCTAGGGCTGATTGCCTTTGGTTTTTTTGGCTGTAGAGCTGGGCATATTGCTGAGCTTGTTTTGTGCTGGGTTTTGACCTGGTTTTAATGCATGTTGGATGAAGTCTAAGACCTTCAGGCACTATGGTGATTCTTGACTTAGTGATTTAGGACAAAATAGAGTATGTGGACTTCCAAAAAGATTTGGACAGGCTGGGTTGATGGGCTGAGGCCGATGGTATGAAGTTAAATAAGACCAAGTGCAGGGACCTACACTTTGGCCACAGTAGGAAGAAATAGGCAGACATTTTTCGTTGTTTCTTTAAGTGGAAGAACCTTAGGTTGCTTACAGATGTTTAGATAGCAGTCTTGCTTCTTCATACAGTTTATAATTAAATGATGGAACTCATTGCCACAGAATGCCGTGGAGTTTGAGGGTAAATGGGATTGGCTTCCCTAGATCTGCTGAGAAAGGTTCTAAGCGTATTCGTGAAAGATTGGTCTGATTGAGTTAATTATATGCAATGGTCCAGGTGTAATCTCTGGCTCACAATTAATTGCCAGAAGCTGGGAAAGCATCAAAGGGGAAGGGATCACTCTCCACTTGCTCTACTTTTTCTCTGAGATGCTTTTGCTGCTTTAGGGAAAGGACACTTGGCAAAGTGGAACTTGGCTTGAGTGATCATAGATGACTGTGGAATAAGAAAGAGTTTAGGTATATGTTAGATTGAAACTAGTTTGCACTTTATTTTGCATTCAAAATCAGTAAATAAAAACCAAAACAGTACATGTTAATGTGATGTCTTTGTTTACCAAGTAATCAAAGCATGCTATCTTTTTCCTCTTCCCGACAGAATCTTTAATTGGTGAAACTTTTGTGGAAAGGATTATTGATAAACTTCAAGCAGCTCTTTCTAAAGCCAAGGATCTTTCTGAAGCTGGAAATACTGAACCGTCAGTATCTTTCATCTGCGATGTAGCCTCAAGCTTTTTCAGCTCAGTTAAAGGGTGTTTACTGATGCCGTCCTCAGAAGACTTGCTGCTTACCATCTTCCAGTTGTGTGCTCAGAGGCAGAATGCTACGCATTTAACAGGTAATTTGGAAAAAGAACTTCAACCAAACCTTTTCGTAGTTGGTGAGAACATCTGCATTTCTTGATAAAACAGATTCAAGTGTATAATAGAATATTGAGTTTATGGACTTTAAACACTTGCAGCTGTAACTGATGTGAAAATTTGTGCTTTAATGTACTACTAGAAACAAGTAGTTACTACTAAACATCAAGTACTGTACATCTTTATTAGGTTTTTAAACTTTTTTGGTGTTACTATCCCTGTGCTTTAGCTGTCCTTGAGGCTGTGATACTCCACACTTTTTGGAGTGTTACATAACTTAGTTTGTTCATTCTGCAATTTGGGGATCCTGTGGAAGAAATGTGAGTGATCACTTCTTTAAAGATACATATATTTATTCTGAAACCATTTGTATTGGTCAAGTGCTCTGACAGATTGTGACCCATTCCTCTCTCCACCAGTGTCTCATTTTCAGACTGAGATCCTGATTTATATTCTTTGAATGCAGAATTTGAGAGTGATAAATTAATGTATGCATTTATGTACATACAAAGCAGAAAATGTTGCAGTGTTCTTGTAGAAGTGAAGTAGGACAGTGATAGCCTGAAAACCACCACTGATGTGCAAATGACTATTGATATTGTGAATGTTTGGTATTTCAGTGTTTTGAAAAGATTTGAGATTTGTGAAGACCATATGGACAGACTACAGGAACATCACTCATTGTCAAATAAATATTACCTGTGTGACAGAGTTAATTTCAAATTGCTCTATGGCAAGAAATCTGTATGTTTGTCCCTGATAGTTATTGCATGTAAGCACATAGCACATAGAAAAGAGAATTCTTTTCCTGCTCTAGGACCTTTAGGCATGTGGTTGTTGATGTACGTTGTAGGTTGTAATTTGAGTTTACCTGTTTATGATGGTTTTGCTTGTGAGTTTGTTGTTATTTTTTTTTTTTCTACAATAGATTTACTTGTATGTAAGTTAAAACATACTTGGATGTCTGGTGTAAATTCACTTGTGCGTCAGCTTCGCAGTATGCAGAAACAGAGTATCTTTTTGCACAAATCTGCACTGTGGGTCAAGAATCAAATTCAGTCTTCGTCTTTGGATGTTGAAAGGTAATTGTGATATACATATCTGTTTCATAATATCTTGTTTTTCAAACTAAGATCAGTGCTATGCTATTCTTTATTTAATTGGCATCCGTATTACTGAGAGATTTGAATATCAGTCTCTTCTTCCAAGTAACAAGCGATGAGATGAAAGGAAATGGCCTCCAGTTGCGCCAGGGGAGGTTTAGATTGGATATTACAAAAAATTTATTTACTGAAAGTGGTGATGTTTTGGAACAGACTGCCCAGGGAAGTAGTGGAGTCGCCATCCCTTGAGGTGTTCAAAGAAAAGTGTAGACGTGGCACTTCAAGACATGGTCGTGGTAGTGTTGGGTTGGTGGTTGGACTTGATGATCATAGCGCAGAGGTCTTTTCCAGCCTTAATGGTTTTATGATTTTTCAGCCTGCCAGAGGTGAGAACTGTGGGCAGAGCATAACTTAAGACACTGTTGGTATAGCATGCATATAGCATGGCATTGATGTAAAATAAACCAGTTTACTTTTACTGGATAGTACCACACTTGTTTGCAGCGTTTTCTCCTTTTCACAGCCTTCAGGTTTTGATCTCTGCAGTTAGTGATTTGTTGTCTAAGCTTATGGAAGCTGATGGACAGTCTGGGTACCTTGTGGGATCGTATGTGGAGCATGTCACACCAGACAAAACTGAATGGGGGAACTTGCAAGAGTCTCTATCCACTGAGGTATGAAAACGATAATGGGCTTTCACACGGTAATTGATTTTACCTCAAGCCTCTGTCCTTTAGGGTGACAAACATTCTGAATTTTCTCATGGCACTTGCTGTCATGAATGTGCCTGTGTCTGTGCAGAGGTTCTTTTCGGTCTTTTTCTGTGACAGCCGCCAAAAAGCTGTGTGTTTATGGCCCCATTCAGTACTAGTGGATAAAATCAGATCCGTGAAATTACCCTTTTCTGCATGAACACCAGCAGGATGCTGTACAGTTCAAGATTTTTGTCTGACAGAATATACCTTGTTAAGATGTTCTTATCTATAAGTTGATTGTTCTGTAAGACTCATTTTGTGAAAGACCCCAATTCCTGCAGAGGAACATGATATGCTGGCTGTCAACAAAATGCTGACATATGTTGAGTTGGAGAGTGGGGAAGGACATAAATGTCCTGACCAACCACCAAATTTCTGTAACCTTAGTATGTCTTGTAAAATATATACAGTTCTGAAGATAGCTATTTACTTCTGAGACAGCAATGCAGTTTCAAGTTACTGCTGTACTTTTAGAGTTTTCTTTAACATGCTGGAGTGGGTCATCCTCACTATTATACTTTTGGTGTTAATTTGTGTTTGTCATGGTTTTTTTTTAAATAATTCAGAATTTTCCAAGTTAAACAGATCTTAGCTCTTCTATGCATCATTAAAATGTCAATTATTTGTTCATACTCTCCTTATGCACGTATTACAGTGGATGCACAAACCTCTTTTGGAAGGAAGGCTTAGTATGAATTGTGAACCTTTGGGATCATGTGTTAAGCTGTGTGGTACAACTAAACTCCCAGGCCATCTGTGTACTTCAGCCTTACTGAGTAAAATGGTGCTACTTGAATTGGAAAATGGTATAGTCCATGAAAATGATGATGCAGAAAGAAAGAAAGTTGACAATATAAGTAAGTTTCCATGGTAAACCTTAAGGGAATTTCATTTTATATTCGTTGTAAATTAACCTGAATGGATAATTAGAAATGAGCAGTTAAATTGTGGCCTACAGATATGAGAAATCACCTTTTTACCTTGTTTTGTTTTTGTTTTTCTCCCTTCAGTTCTCTTTTAAAAGTATAAGTATGCACAAGTATAGTGTTTATATTTCTAGGACCTTTTGTGATTATATACTTATTATCTTAAGAGAACTTTGAATTTGGAGAAGAAGTTTAAAGTTGTTTGTTGCCAAAGCACACAGTGCATTGGCATGAGTGGACAGTAAGAACTGTATCCCTGTCATCGTATAAATCCCCTGAGTGTTTAGCTATAATGTAAAGATATTTTGAGACAGCAATTCCACCAGAAAAAATATCAGATTAGAGCCAGCATTATCAAATCCACAATTCTGTCTCCAAAGTTCTCTACATGATAAGTGTAATTGTTCAGTGTAGGTCTTGTAAGGTGATGAAGAAACCACATGCTAACTATTAGCGTCAAAGTAGTTTGTTGGTTTTTTGTTTGCAAGAAATATATATTAAAAAAAACTCAAAAAACCCGAGAGAATAGCGAGGAGTTTATAGAGTTCGTCATGTTTAATTTACTTTAAAATTTCCTGAATATTTAGATTATTTTAGCTTTTTTTTTTTTGCTCCTATGTTTTAGGATGCAATAACAGATACCCAGTTCATGCTCTGAAGCACCTGAGACTGTGTGTAAATATAATATTATTAATGCATTACAAACATATAAAAAACCCAACAAAACCTTGACTGGAAACTTCTTGCTTGTGCACTGCAAATATTCAGCAGTTGCCTGTAAAGAACAACTTTTGTTGTTGAATTAGTTGCAGAATTGTTGTACTCATTACAATGGATCGAAGAATTGGAGAATCCTCCTTATCTGCTCCTGGAATATCTTCATATGTTAGAAGAAATGCACATCACATATGAGAAATTCAGCACGCTTAGTAGTACGACTACCCTTCAGCAAGCAATATTTGATAGGTATGTAAAAACAAGTAAAACAGCTCTTAACTCTGTCTTTTGCATTGTATAGAGCACTATATTTACTTATGTATATCAATTCAAACTTTCTCTAAGTGCTTTTACTGTGAACTGTGCATATTAATCAGGCTCTTTCTTCTCCTTTGAAGATCGGAGGAACACGGAAGACTCTGGTCCTTAACCATGGCAAAAGTGATTCGTATGGAAAACACCGTATCCTGTGAGATGAAACAACTTTTTAAGACTGCAGAAGGGTATCTTAATACTGCTGCCTATAAACTTCTAGTTTGTTTCAAATGTTGGTAATGTCCTCAACATGAGAAAAAACTCCTTCACTGTGAGGGTGACGGAGCCCTGGCACAGGCTGCCCAGAGAGGTTGTGGAGTCTCCTTCTCTGGAGACTTTCAAAACCCGCCTGGACGTGTTCCTGTGTGGCTGCCCTAGGGGATCCTGCTCTGGCAGGGGGGCTTGACTAGAGGATCTCTAGAGGTCCCTTCCAACCCCTGACATTCTGTGATTCTATGATTAAATGATACTGATTCTGATGAAGGACAGTGGAAGACTAAAAGTTTGGTAATATATGTGTATGGTATGTAAAAGCAAGACTCGGTTTAGTGTGGGGAGATTAGTTATGTCATAGGATATTAGATCACTATGAAACAGTTGACATTTTGTTTACTAGTTACAGTTTTGGGTTCATTGAATTCTTGATGTTTTTGCTTGCATGAATAGGTTTCTGCCACTAACAGAGGGCAGACTGCATACGCTTCAGTGTCTGTCGCCTTTTTTAATTGAGGAAGAAAAGAAAGAACTTGTTTTACACTGTGTGGCCAAACTTACGACATGCACACAGGCAGAGCTTTCCAGCACTGCTGGTGAGTATGGTCTTAACCTCAGTCCACTTCACTGGGATTTAAGAACATTATTTGTAGTGACGTTTTCTGCTAGATAAAATGTTAATTGTAATAATACTGGTTTTCCTAAAAGGAAATGTCTTCTCAGTTTGCCTGTTTCTTCTAGACTGTTTGTCACAGTAGTCTTCTGTTTTATTAAGGAAGTACAAGCTATTCTGCTAGGTACAAAATCAGAACTGGAGGATTTAGTAGTAGTTCTTCAAGTGCATGGAATATCATGTGCGGAGTCACAACCACTGTACATAAGCAGCTTTCAAAAAATTACTTAGAGGTGACTGAGATATGTTACAAAATTCCTTTGAATATCCAGTAGATATTCAAAGCAACTTGTTGCTTTTCAAGAAAAGTCTTTGGAAATGCTCACACATAGTCCTTCTACATGTTTGAATTACACATCAATTAAAAGAAAGAACTTTCTCTTTTCTCAATACTGCTTTTGTGCTTTCGTGCTAAGAATACTACATTTTTTAGTAGCATAAATAAATCTTAGCAGGTATTTTTCCTTTTTATTAATTGTATAAATCAACAATGAATCTTACATGAGTTTTTGGTTGGTTTAGGGGCATTTTTTGTTTTATTTTTTTCTAAGTTTGGGTTGGATATAGTATTTTTGATTTAACAATGGCATCTCTGGATTAAGGGTTCGAAGAGGAAAGCTTAGGTATTATACAAACTGTCTTTTAATGTTAAGTTCAAATGAAATAATCCAGTCAATTGACACACATTCTAATGTGGGGGGTTTTTTCTTGATAATTAGGACATATTGAGTATGATATATTTATAATGTTATAGGAGCATTTGGGTGTCTTTCCATTTTGAACTCCTGCTTGAAAGACAGAAGTATTGATTGTGATCATCTACTACCTGGAATACTAAAACTCATAATAACTTGGAAAAACGATAATGAGGACAGCTTTCTCTTTAGCTGGTGAGTGCATCTTTGCGATACTTTGACTTTTTTTTTAGTTTCTAAACCAAGAGTTTAAAAATACAGAGTGGATATTAACTCAAAACAAATTCGACAAAATCAATTTTTAAGTTACAAACTGCCAGCCACTGCTCTAATACCACATTTATACACCTTGGTAGAATCACATCCCTCAGTTTAATAAACATATCTTTTAAGTATCTAATAACTCCTACTGAAGAAAATGACCTGGGTGGATGAAGGCTGAGGAACTAGGAACTTTTTTAATGCACCTAGATATCAACTTACCACCTAGATATCGACTGCAACTAGATATCAACTTACCACCTTTTGCTGGTGTTACTGGAAATTCAGTTCCAAATTCTGATTGCATATTTAAATAGTAGAAAGAAAATGTGTATACCAAACTTTAGTGTCTGTTTTTTAAAATTCTGGACCTGAAAATATAACTTGGAAAGCTTCCAGCAAGGAGTGAAAATATACTGACGTTCATTAATCTTGAGTGTAATGAGAAAGATCCAGGCCACAAAGTTTTGAAATAATGGCTGTTTTTTGGACACTTGAGGACTTATAAAACTCTGTTGTTAAAATCAGTGTCTTTTCTTTTTCTTGCATTGATTTAGTTAAAATTTCTAAAGTTCATAGTTTGTGCAAGTATATTACTATGGCTGCCTTCCAATACCTAAAGGGAACCTACAAGAAGGCTGGGGAAGTACTTTTTACAAGAGTGTCCACTGATAGGACAAGGGGAAATGGGTTTAAGCTGAAGGAGAATAGATTTAGATTAGATCTTAGGAATTGTTAAGTAGGAGGGCGCCAAGACTTTGGCATAAATTGCCCAGAGAAGTTGTGGCTGCCCCCTCCCTGGAGGGGTTCAAGGCCAAGTTGGATGGAACCTTGAGTAGCCTGATCTAGTTGAGAGACGTCCCTGCCCATAACAGGGAGGTTGGATTAGATGATCTCTAAGCTCCCTTCCAGCCTAGACCATTCTGTGATTCTACGATTCTATGGTTCTATGGTACTTAAGTGAATATGTAAATGGTACAATTTTAGGAATCTGGATAACAAGCAAATGAGCAAGTGACTCTGATGGTCTATTTTGTACCTGTTGACTGACTGACTTGGACTTGGCAGCTAGTGTAGTATTCTAACTTTGAAAGACAGGCTATCAGAAGCAGGAAGGACAAAGCACAGTCCTGGTGCAAAACTAATTTGTCCCGAGAGGAGGAGTGAAGGCAAGAATATAAATACTCTTGTGTCTGCAATGTGAAGATATGTGACCTTGAACTGTATTTTTTTTTACAGCAATCTGAAAGAAACAAGTCCTCAGCTGCTTGGTTTCAACATAGAGATGATTCGTTACCTTCCCTTGCTGCTGAAGTATTCCACAGCTCCTTTGGCCGACAACGAGTGGGACTTCATCCTGTGCTCCATGCTGGCTTGGTTAGAGGTAACAGCAAAGAGGCTGTTGCAAACCACTGTGCTTTACTGGGATCCTCCTGGTGCCCCTGAACCTACTGGACTGATGCAGGGGAGGGCGGGAGGATGTGTTAAAAAACAGGCTACAAAGTAACTGATTTTTTTCTAGTCTTACTGGGCTGTCTGATCCATATTTCATCCTACATGTTTGAAAATGGTACGTTAAAAGTTCACCTGTCTATTTACAAGGTGAGAAGTTGGACATCAGGATGATATAGTAAAATATTACAGAAGCCATGCCACAGAGCAGTTACATTTGAACAAAAACGCGTGAGGATTGCCAAGAGGAATGGAAATCAGAGCGCTCTTAATGGTTCTTGCCTGGAGTTTAGAATACAAATCAATTTAGAAATCTATATTAATAGCTAGGTGCTCAGCATTTCAAAGATAACTTATTTTAAAAGACATCTCAGGCAAAATACAGAGCTAAGAAAATAAAGTTTACTTTCTTCCTGAGTGCCAGTGTTGCATCTCTGTTTTTTATGTACTTAGCTTTTAGATTCTCTGGATATGGCAGGGATATAGGTATCTCAGCTTAGCAAATATTTGACGCAGAATTAAGGAGTTACTCAAAATCTTTCTTTTGATGAATGTTGTATGTGGCTTAAAAGCACAAAGCGTACTGTACCTCCTGTTTCTTTTTGTATATGGACATGCAATTACTTCCCCCTTGACCTAATATGATGTTTAGTAATGGCATTGTGAATTGGAGAATAATTTTGAAATTTGTCTGCTGAAGATGTATATGTTGAAAAATAATACCCCTTTAAGACCAAAGTCTAACATGACATATAAAAATTAACTAAATTAAAAGCAGTATCTGTGTTTCAATATCTGATCACATGAAATGTGAAAATGATATTCTAATGCCACTAGAAAACAAGTCAAGTGAACAGCTGACTAGTTCTTTATTAATCAGATAAAGCTACAGAATCTTTCACCTTCTAGCTTTTCTGTTTGTTTGCTAATTGTAGCCCCCTCTGTCAGTACACACTTGTAAGGGCAGGCTGGAAACTTCCATGTGGCCTTTCTTGGTTTCAGGATTAATCTTATCTGTGCTGTGTGTATCTCAAAACTGTATTTTTTAATTAAAGACCCACAACAAAAGAAGCAACAGACTTATATGCAAAACTTCTTGCATAGATTAAGTGGTTTGGACTACTTTTAATATTTAACAATATTCCTTTTTTTGGCAAGGTAGTAAGATTCTAAGAATAAAAAGAAGCAGCTATGTTGAGAAAGAGGAGATATTCTCCTGGCTGCCACTTCAGTAATTTCTAGTTCACAGCAGCATCTTGCCTATTTCATTTGCAATTTGGACACACAAGCATGATGCTGTTAAAGGTTTTATGTCTGGGAGAGAAAAGTGAGAACACTTCCCATATCAGTGTTAGCTCACTTGGCTGCACAAGTGCTCAAAATAAGCTGCATCTGTGTCTATTTCTGTTTGAATCCACTTGGTGGCAGTTTCTTTCTGACATTGGGAAAAGAAGGTCATACTAAGGAAGCAATCCAGAATCCTAAATATTGATGAAACTTGGAAATAATTTTCATCACGTACTAGTGAAATACATGTTATGTTGTTAAACTCTTTTCATGTCCTAAATAGTTTTAAACTGGTTTTCACAGTTGAGTCTTCTTTGAAATGACACTTTCTGGTGTAGATGGGGAGTGCGAAAGATATTTTAAAGCAAATTTGTCGTTCAGAAATCTTCCTCTTCTTTTTTCCTCACAGACAACAAGTGAGAACCGTTCGCTTTACCATGTGCCGCTTGTGCAGATTTTTGCTTGTGTCAGTTGTGACTTAGCATCAGCCCTTAGTGCTTACTTTGAAGCTGCAGCTCCCGGAACTACTGAAAACCTTCCTGTGAACTTGATCAGTGAATGGAAAGAATTCTTTTCTGAAGGAATTCACAATTTGCTGTTACCTTTGTTGGTGAAAGTCACAGGCAAGTATATGGCAAGGAGGGTAACAGTGGTACCTCTCAGGCTTTTCTGCAATAGAACTTGACAGGCCATATTTTTGAATTTATAGGAATATTATGTCAACATATAATAAGTCACTGTTTTGAACACCTGAGTGCTAATTAGCAACGTAATTGCACTTAACATTGTGACTTTTAAAATCAGATGGATTCTGATAAGCACAGTCTGAGATGTTTCCAGTAATTGTGTACCATTGTTTCTTGTTTATGGTATCATCCATCCGTTCTGTATCACAGCTTGTCCTTCTCTGTTTTACATAGGAGAAACAGAAAATGCATCTGAAGGCTCCTTTCAGAACTCAGTGTTAACGTCTTTGGGTGAAGCTCTAACATACATCTCAAAGGATCAGTTGTTAAACCATAAATTGCCAGCAAAGTTTGTTGCAGGCCAGAAAACAAACCTTCCCGATAAACTCCAGACTGTACTAAATACTCTATCTCCATTGTTGCTTTTCCGGGCTAGACCTGTGCAGATTTCTGTCTACCACATGTTGTATAAGTAAGAATCAACACATTTCTCACTCACTTCACTGAACTCCTCCTGACTCGCCCCTGCCTCTCCCTTGGTTTTTTTTTTTTTTCAAATGTGCTATAAAACATGCCCTTATAGATGTATTTGGGAAAGTCGTGTTTCGTTACGGGACAGAATCCTTAGCTGGACAATTTCTGTTGCATGTAGGGGAACATAATAAAAAGTTCTGAATGCTAAATGTAATTGTAAAAGTAGACTTAAACATATACTGAGAAATTTTGCTGCAGCATATGAAGATACAACTTCTTCTGTACCGTAGTTACACAGATACTGGTATTGTATCTGTAAAGCTATTTATTGTTAGCTCCTATTTTAACACTTGGAGAATTCTAAAATGCAAACTGAAATATTCCAGGTTTGATCTGTGTTGGCAGTATCATTAAAAAGTATGACCTTCTTATTTGCACGACTTTAGATACGAAGATGAAGAAAGTGGGGAAAAAAATGTGTAGTGGTCTTATGAACTTTTTTGATATCCCATACCAAAAGAGAGAAAACAATCTGAAAAATAGCTTGTGCATTTGACTGCTTAAAATGCAGATTGCAAGGCACATGGATTAAGCATAGGAAGCTGCAACTATCTTTGACTTCTACTGAGGCTTAAAGTTGCACTAGCTTTATTCTGAGATAGAGTAGCTGATTTATAGCATGACTTGGGAAGTGTAAAGGGTCTGGAAAAGAACTGAACAAGGGTTCATTGTCGTTGGCTCTTGTCATTCAGGGTCCAAATTTGCAACGGTGGCATGTCTCTTAAAGATTCTATGTTGTTATGAAGGAATAATTGCTGTTGTTTTGTTGTTTATTGTTAATGTTGACATAAGCAAAGAAATATGCATCAAATATACTAAAATAGTAAAAATTAAATCATATTTCCTTTCTATATTTGTCTAGATTAATGCCTGAATTGCCTAAATTTGATGATGAAGATCTCAAGTCTTACGGTGATGAAGAGGAAGAATTGGCATTGTGTGTATTTTTTCCTCTTTTTTTTTAAATAACTATTTTATTGAAAGTGTTCAATATAATTGCTTAAGTCTGACCTTGTGCTAGAGTAAGTGCAGTGTGTGCTCTATACTGTAAATCTTGACAGGTTTTTGCTGGACTCCTGTACTCGGAAGGTGTCCACCTACACAGGCAACTTCAGTTTCTTGAACCTCCCAAATTGATTTGATTTATTTATAAGCTTGAATCTAATAAAGTCAACAGTTTCAAGAGGGAAATGGTAACTGATTTTAAAAAGAACATTTGTTTTTTTAACTTCAGCCCAATATTTAACACCTTTTCTTACTATGGAGCTGCAAAAGGCTTTTCAATCCAATGCCAAAGCCTAAACCAAACACATCAGTGATTAGGGGATCCATTGTTCACTCGTTCCTGTGAGCGAATGAGCTGTCCATGATCCAGGTTCTATCAGCTCAGCTGTAGACCACTCTCAGATTAAGTGACCAGCATTTAGGTTTATTTGTCTTGCAAGAGGTAAGCTCAACAACTGACCATTTCAGGAAAAAAAAATTAAAATTTGGCACTAATGTGTGAATGCAGAAGTAAATTTTCCTCTAATAAAAGGCCTCTTTTATATTCTACCTGCGTGGCTTTGGTAACAGATTTCTAGGAAAGCTGTGAACATAAATGCAGTTCATGCTCTGCTGAAGATTTGGTTTTAGGATGCCATGTCCCCTTCTTCCCCAGATCACCTCCAGCGGCGCTTATGTCTGTCCTGGCCACACAAGAACTCTTGCTGGAGAACATCCTGGAATGCATTCCCGTTGGAGAATTCGCAGTTATTCAGCCCCTGAGCGATGAGTTCTGCCTTGTCCTGGGGTATCTTCTCACTTGGAAGTTAACATTAGCTTTCTTCAAAGCAGCTTCTTCTCAGGTATATGTTCAGAGTCTTTTCCCTTTTAACTGAGCTTCTTAATACACTCATTTGGTTTGAATCTTGAAGCTGAGTCCAGTCTTTTAAAACTTTTATGTAGCTTACCACTGCTTGTTTTTGTGGAATTAGTGGAATTCTGAAAGCATCAATAGACTTGGATTTCTGCACTGCAACAGTTAAGGCTGGTAATATTAGACTAATAAAGAATTAAGATACATTACTAGATTATTCTTTGTGGTATTTTCAAAAAAGCTTGCTACGTTTTATGATCTTAGAACCTTTCAAAGTGGTGCAGAGAACTAAATCACTCTTAAACCCTTGTTCTGAATCACAGTCTTGCTTTTCCTCCCTCCAGAAACATATTTGTATTATTTCTAGAATAAGCTCTGTTTTATTAAGTCTCATCTGTGTTTTGTGTTGTTTGATTTTATTTTTTTTTTTCACACTATCAGCTGCGAGTTCTCTACTCACAATACCTTAGAAGAACTAAAAGCTTGAATAAATTGCTTTATCACTTGTTCAGGCTCATGCCTGAAAACCCTGTCTTTTCTGGGCCAACCTCTGAAGTTCCAAATAAGGATACAAAAACTTTCTTCACTGAAGAGCTTCATTTAGATGTTAAAGGTTAGTAAACAATGTATTTATGCATTTCAGAGACATTTGCTATTGCTGAAGTTTAAATATGCTTTTCTGACTAAAACTATATATTTAGAAAATCTTACCTGTACATAGACAAATGCAGACGTACGTTAAAAATTTTTGGCTAACATTTCCCATTTGAAGCTTAACCAAAGTTGAAATGTTTATCAGAAAAATCAAGGAAAATAAACCAAACCAAAACCAACCCAAACCCAAATGCTTAGATTATTAACTCATGACAGAAATAATAGATTGCTACAATCTGAACCCTGAATGTATGCAACGATTCTAAAATACTAAGTGTGTAATGTATTCTGGGACTTCTCAATTTCTTCCAGATATTTTTTAATGCTAAATGGAATTTCTATTTTTATACATAAATAAAACAAAAAATATATTTTTATATACATTCTTTTCGATGTTTGAGACGCTAAATTGTGTGTTGTTTTTGTCATGCTGTTCAGAAGACTTGGCGTTAATCAGCCGCGATGAGAGAAAACAAGATGGGGGGTTTTTTAGCTGAGAAACTTTAAGAAAGGATTTAGTTTTGAAAGTTACTTCACTGAGATTGTTATTTTATATATGTGTGTGAATGTAAGCGTTCATTTCTTAATTTTTTTGCTTGAACTTTATTACTATGTGTTGCAGAAGAATTTATCTGGATGCCAGTAAGAGAAAATGACTAACATGACATCCCAAGAGAAAGATTCCCCTTATCTCTAGAACGCTGCAAACCTCAAACGTGCTCCAAACATCTTACTGTGTGTTCACTTCAAAGTGGGCGTTTTGTCATTTCTATAATATACAACTGTTTGCAACTTCTGGTAGTCTGCCTAGAGTTCATCTCTAAATTAGTGGGTGAATTTCCAGTGGTGAAGTGTTAGCCAAAGGAACAAAGGAACCAGACTGGCAGAGAGAGGCAGAGTCAAACGAGCACGTACAGTAGCAAAGATAGAAGGAACAGTGTGTACATGAAACTCCAGTTCCCGCAGTTACGTTGGAATGAAGATTTTTGTATGTGGTGTGGGGGAACCAACATCTGTGATGAAAAGTGTCTGCATATTTCAACATCTTTGCTTCCCTTCCCAGGGGCGGGAGTCCTCTCATCCCAGATTCCGCACTTGGCCTGCTCCGTGTACCGTATCACGCTGAAAGACTTGCCGGCCATGGTCAGGCTTTGGTGGAACAGCTGCGAGAAACGAGTCTTCAGTGTTGTAGATAAATTTACAAGCAAGTACGTCAGCAGCGTGCTCTCTGCACAGGAAATATCTTCTGTTCAGACTAGCACCCAGTTATTTAATGGCATGACGGTTAGTAAGACTTTTTGCTGTTTTTTTCGATTCACTTCAGTGTTTTGCTAACATTTTAAGAAATGCTGCTTCTCAGAACCAGACCATGTTCCTTTTGTTTTGTATCATTAGAGTTTTGTTCTTCTAAATGACTGATGAGAACAGAATCTAGCTTGGTAACAATATATTAAGTGTATGTTTATTGATACTCTGTTTGGAAAAAAATGGAAAAGTATAGGGTTTCCAATGTTGGAGAAGTTGAGGTGGTAAATGGAAGGTAGTGCTCCCAGTATACTTCTTTTTGGTTTATTAAAAATGATAATCAATCAGTAGATTGAAAAATGAGTGCTAATTTCCTTCTAATTTGCATGATTTCTGTGTAGAGGAGTCAGGGAACAACTCTTTAACTGCACCTAAGGCAGATGTACTGTATTTTGACTAATGACTGGTGGGTAATTTTAGTCCGGTCTTGGATGCGCAGTGGAGTGCTGAGACTCCTTGCTGAGAAATGGGGTGAAGAGCAAGCAAGTTTAAGGGTGAGATGAAAATGTGCTGTGGAGGGACAAGGCGAGATGTGCCAGGTCGTGAGGAGTAAGCTGGTCTCCGAAGACAGGTCTCTTGGTTCCCCTCAAGCAGTGGCTTTTGTGAAGAGAGAGGCTAATTTTGTGTTGCCTAAGAGTGTTATTTGTTAGAGCATTCTGAGTTGTAGAGAGAGTGGCTCTGCTTTAGGTAATTTGCAAGAGGCATGTTTCCAGAGTGTGAATTTTAAGATTGCGGCCTACCTGGTGAGGTTAAATGTCCCAATTTGATTATGATAGTGTTCCGTTGTACTCATGGTGTGAGTTGAGTGATGGGTTAGGATGTCCTGAAGATATTTTGTGTATTTGTGCTGTTTTTTGAGGTCCCTTGTGGCTCGGGGTAGGCGAGGAAAGGGCGTGAGGGTGCGCCGCTGGCCGAGCAGGTGCTGAGTGTAGGCGGGTGGGTGTTGCTGGGACGCGAGTGCCATTGGGAGGAGAAAGGCGTACGGAATGTGTTGTGTTCCATGGGCAGCTTGTGGGTGCGGCCCCCATGAGGGCCTGGCTGTAGGTAAAGCTAAGCAGAAACCGCCCTGGTCAGTGTGAGGATGGGAGACCTCTCCCACAAGCAAAGCCCCCTTTTGTCACTTTTTTTGCAGAGGACCTGGCCAGGCTGGGGCAGTGTACTGAGGCCAACGGGATGAAGTTCAACAAGAC